CGTTTTAGGGGGGCGTGGCAGAGTCTTAACTTTGATAAAGAATATCTCTTTGGTTTTGAGACTTTAGTCTTTGCAACTTCAGGGATCTTATCTATGCACAATCAGCTTGTAATACTCCAAAGAGAAAGGACAACTTGAAATCGCATCATATGACCCCTTTAATATATTCATAGACAGCTATGCAGACGTTCAGACGTCCCCCCCGTGTGCCTTTCCCAGTGGGACATCTGCTGGGATATTTTTAGATAGTGTTTTTCTTTTGTCCTGCAGTTGAGCTGTTTTCCGATCAGGACGTCCACATGCCTCTGATGCTGGTGCTGTCCTCGCATTTCAACAGCAAAGTGCAGCAGGTAGTCAGCAGGTTTTGCCTGCACAGTTTTCCTGGCAAATGCTCAAAAGCTGGCCAAAATGAATTCTATAAATTGAATAACATTCTGTCATCATTTAAATGCCCTCTCATGTCGTTCCAAACCATACGACTTTCTTTATACTGTGGAACGGAAAAGAGATATTTAGAGGAATGTTCATGCTGCTCGTTTCCGTATAATGAACATGAATAGGGACTGAGACTCCAAAATGATAGAAAAACACCTTTAAAATACCATGAGATGCCATTACACGGTTTTATTTTAAGAGTGCATGTTCAGATGTTAAAAATCATTTTTGAAATCAATGTTAATTATTTGTTATAAATTATTAAAATAAAAATCAGATTATAAAATAATATTTATATGTATAACAAAATAGTATAAACATTTTATATTATTTAAAAAATGTATTTATTTATTACCGTTGTAAGATCTGTTCTGCTGTAAATGTAATTTCAGTGCTTTATTCACTAAGAAAAGTCTTTAAAGGTTTGCGTTTTAATCACAGGTAGGCTGGTCTCTGCTGTGCCGTCTGATGGAGATCTGTCCCAACACTCTGGATAGTCTGGCCAACCCAGATGAATATGAGTTTACTGAGGTGCACAAGTAAGTCTGGACTATTTCTATGAGCTTGTATGGGCTCCTGTTTATATAGTGCAGTGAACTTTTGTATATATGCTGGTTAAGATTAAAGGTGTTTGACTAGGAGGATTCATGCATTTATAAAGAAATTGTGAATCAATTCAGTTCAGTTTATTTCTATAGCACTTTTCACATTATATACTAAAGAAAGAGTGCCTTAGAAAAACCATCTAGATGTTAAAGTATGCCAAGAAGAAATCTTGGGTGGAACAGATACTCGTTCAGGAATTCTGGGCTGGCACATATTTAACAAATAAGTAACCAAATGTATGCAAAGTATTCATGCACACACATAGGCACATGTAATTTAGCTGCACGGTATTGCTGGCAGGTTTTAATAATCTGGTTGAATTCTAATGTTTTATTATTATACTATATGTTGTATATAAATATTATTTTAAATATGATAGAAATCCATGTGAAATGGCAATAGTAAAGATGCAGGCACAACGATAATGGCAGATAGGGCTGGGAAAGGGTGGATCTGAGTTTGACAGGTGCTTGTAAGCTTTGGAATGGAGAATATAAACGCATATAAAGAAATAAAAAGATGTTAGTGGAAGAAAGGCATATATATAAAGAAAAAGTGAAAAGTAAAATAGTTAGAGGGGCCATTTAAGAAAATATATTTCATCCGCAACTGGATTTAGCTGTGTTTAGCACTGCAAATAGTTTAGTAGAAACAATGTACATTGCACAGAGAACCAGTGTGCTGATGACAATATGTGACGGATAAGATCATACAGTATTTGTAGATCTAGTTAGAACTTTAGCTGCTGCTTTTTAAAGAAGCTGCGGTGCAGTGTATTTATGAATGCATCCAGCCAAAAGTGTGTTGTAATAAATCAAGTCTCGAAGTTATGAATGTGTGAACCTAATGTTCTGCTTGAAAACAATGTTATCTAACTAATTTCTGAGGAGGAAGAATGTAGAGCTAATCATATCACCTAAAGGGAGCATGTACAAGGAAACAAGGGCTCAGGACCGAACCCTGTGGCATACCATAGTATTATATGGCAGGGGTTTTCAATTAAAATTACAAGAGGTCCTATTTCTGTGTTTCCTTCCCAGCAGAGTTCCAAACAGTACTTTTTCTGAATATGTATACATTTCCACAGCAGCAGTACTTTGTTTAAATAATATTGAAAAAAAGGATCTAAACCAGGCTGTTTGTGTGAACACAACTGACTGAAACTTTTAATAATTGATAGGCACAGATATTTCTAGAAATGTTGACAGAAAACAAGCATTCTAAATATTTAATTATTTGAATTGTTTATTTTTTTCAGATGCAATATTTGTTTTTATAGGTGCTTTAATAACTGATAGATTGAATAGAATTTGGAATGTCTTCTGTAGAGAAGGAAGAGGTAACACTATTTAACATCGACTATAGGTAGCACTTTTTAAACTTGTATTTAGTTTTGAAAGCCAAGCTTTATAACCATAAACAACTGAAGTTGGTTGTAACACATCATGTTGTCTGAGATACTGCAACTGATTTTTGTTGAAATTCATACAGTAAATTAATTGCTGCTATTCATGTCCAGCAGGTTTAGGCAAGTGTTTGCATGTTTGTTCACAGGCAGATTCTTAAGGTGCTTTCAATGTATCGTAATGACTCCAGGATGATGATGGTGGGCTTGAGAGCTCTGGCTCTCCTACTGAAGTCAGGTAAGACTTGCTTTTAAATAATGTTTATATGTACTGATTATACAACCATTATGGTGCGTTGGGTCCGAATGCATTTTTTCCAATTCATTTGATCTCTGTAGGGATTTCAAAAAAAGTTATTTCATAAAAATTTGAACCAAACCAGTTAACAAAGAAACAATACTGTGTACCTAACATATTTTATGCAATATTTGTTTTTATAGGTGCTTTAATAACTGATAGATTGAATAGAATTTGGAATGTCTTCTGTAGAGAAGGAAGAGGTAACACTATTTAACATCGACTATAGGTAGCACTTTTTGAACTTGTATTTAGTTTTGAAAGCCAAGCTTTATAACCATAAACAACTGAAGTTGGTTGTAACACATCATGTTGTCTGAGATACTGCAACTGATTTTTGTTGAAATTCATACAGTAAATTAATTGCTGCTATTCATGTCCAGCAGGTTTAGGCAAGTGTTTGCGTGTTTGTTCACAGGCAGATTCTTAAGGTGCTTTCAATGTATCGTAATGACTCCAGGATGATGATGGTGGGCTTGAGAGCTCTGGCTCTCCTACTGAAGTCAGGTAAGACTTGCTTTTAAATAATGTTTATATGTACTGATTATACAACCATTATGGTGCGTTGGGTCCGAATGCATTTTTTCCAATTCATTTGATCTCTGTAGGGATTTCAAAAAAAGTTATTTCATAAAAATTTGAACCAAACCAGTTAACAAAGAAACAATACTGTGTACCTAACATATTTTATGAGGCAATAAACTACTTGTTGCAATAAGCGCTGCAAATGACATAATCAGTTAAGAAATGACAGTACATTATACCAATATGGATATTGAGAAAGCATCTCATACATTCAAGTCTTCTTATTACGAATAGTCCACATTCCCCTTACACAAACCTAATTATGATTATGGTTAGATAAGCATGTGTCTTTTCTCTTGAGGTGCATTTTTCTGCTTTCCTGAAGTGAAACTGATTTTTTTTTGTGGGTCAGATGAGATTGTGATGCAGGTTCTAGATGAGGAGGAAGTGGATGTGTTTTCCGTGGTTCTGGAGGCCATGGGGTCATTTAATGACAAAGAAGAGGTTCAGCTACAGGGATGTGCTGCTTTACAACTACTGCTGCAAACAGGTAACAGTGATTTGTTACAAATTTCCTTTGAGTACGGTGACCGGGAGGGGACGTCTTCGGTTCACTTAGTTTTGGCTTGGCCACGAGATATTAACTCGTGGGACCGTGATATGATGTTGTGGCCACGAGATCATTTTGTCAAGGTAACGACATCCTTATGTCGCGACCTCGAGATGCTATGTTGAGGGAACGACATCCATTTCTTGTGGCCACGAGTTTAATGCGTAAACGAACCTGCGTGACCATATCAACCCAAAATGATCTCGTGGCCACGACAAAACTAAGTGAACCGAAGACGTCCCCTCCCAGTAATATAGGGCCCTAGGATTTCTGCGGTGGAAAAACATGGCAAATTGCAGTTTTGTCTACTACATACTCAAGCACACTTGACGCTTGTGTTTTCAGTGTCTTCCGTTTCACTAAATGAGGACATGAACACATGAACTTCATCTCCAGAGCTGCTCTGAGAGTCACTTCACCAGCTTTACACCCTTTCATTTGATTAAACGTTCTCCAAATACACACAGAAAATTAACGACCTTCACTACAACCCGCCAAAATAAAAATTCAGTTTTAACTGAAAGAAATTAGAAAAGAAAGTTATTTCTGTTAGACAGCCGAATTTACTTCTCAAAGTCATAATAACAATACTAATATTGCAGCTTATATAATCTTTTTCCATGTTTTAATTTAAACTGTAAAACTCTGTTTACCAAATACGAAAGGAAGTGTTCAGATTTCAGATTAAATAATTGTTTTTATTTATGGTTTATTTCGATTACTACTGTTTTTGATAAATCTGTATCAAATGAAACAACACAGAATTGAGAAAAAATTCGGAATATAATTTCTGTTAAAAAAAAGAAAGAACATTTTTTATTAACTCATCGTTTTTGACCATTAAAATTTAATTAAACCATTCAAATGGAATCCAGAAAAAATGAAAACCAAAAATACAGCCCTTAAAAATTCAACAGAATTTGGGAAAAATAAAATGCATTCCATAGGGCGCTAGTAATAGTGATGCTTTCCTTAGCAAACCCCACTTACGTTAATTCCAGTCTTATTAACCTGCTTGATTGTCAGTTTCTGATGCTCATCTGGTGGAGTTCATTGAGAACAAGGACCACGAGGTGGTTTTGGATGTGCTCAGGCGGTTCATGGACAGTGAGAATGTGGTACTGCAAGCTCTGAGGGTCCTCATACCACTGGCTGCTCCAGGTATAATAACACTTGTATGAAAGTAAAATAATGGCATATGTTTTTGAAACAAATATGCACGTTGAATAGCACTAACTGAAAAAATAATGAATTGCATTAACAGTGCTTGCATTTTAATGCCTTGTATTTCCAGGGCTTGTATTTTTAGGTCCTGAAATTTAACATAGTTGTTTATTTAAGCTGTGAATATTTCAATTCAAAATCTTTCACACACATTCTCATAATTAAAAATTCAGTAATTCATATTCACCTTCCAGAATTCACTTCCAAAATATTCAATCTGTTTAAAAATACGATGTGTAATATTCGACAGGCAAATTTCAGTCCATTTTATTTCACTTTCCAAATTCCCTTCCACAAATTCAGCGGTTATGATTCGGCAGAAAATTCGCCATTGCACATCCGGGATCCACAGGAATAGCTGTAGAGCACCGATGCATGATCTCCTGCTGCTGTCAGTCGCTCACCAGCAGGTGGCGCAAGCTGCTGTTGATGAAGTCATTTGCAAAACTGTAATGGAGCAAGTGCTAAGTAGAAGTTTTGATTATCGTGGCCAGTATAAACATGTGGAAAAGCTGATTTTGTGTATGTTTAATTCAACATCGCTGTTTCCCGTAGCATACATGTAAGCAGCGTTCTCTACCACAAAGGAGATTATAATGCTATTTTACCCAACGCTTAAGTACAGAACTAACATTACATCTGAGGAAGACATATATTGCTTTCGGTTGCTTAGTTTCCGTAACTTTGTATCATGGCTTGTGTGACGCTGTGCTGTAATACTGGGGATCCCCTCACGTCACACTCCAGGATTCCCCAACGACCCGTAACGCGCCTCAGTGAACTAATACAGTGATATAAGACCTCAGATCTCAGAATACACTTTATTGATGATTATGCGAACTATATCGACAGTTAAGCAGATGTAGAATATGAATGAACGCTCAAGGTTTCACGCTCAAGGTTTCAAGGGTCATATGATGCAATTTCAAGTTTTCCTTTCTCTTTGGAGTGTTACAAGCTGATTGTGCATAGATAAGATCCCTGAAGTTGCAAAGACTAAAGTCTCAAATCCAAAGAGATATTCTTTATAAAAGTTTAGAGTCAACCACGACTACCTAAAATGCCTGGTTCTAACACGCCCCCATGTCTACTTGAGGGGATCCCCAGTATTACAGCACAGCGTCACACAAGCCATGATACAAAGTTACGGAAACTAAGCAACCGAAAGCAATATATGTCTTCCTCAGATGTAATGTTAGTTCTGTACTTAAGCGTTGGGTAAAATAGCATTATAATCTCCTTTGTGGTAGAGAACGCTGCTTACATGTATGCTACGGGAAACAGCGAAGATGTTGAATTAAACATACACAAAATCAGCTTTTCCACATGTTTATACTGGCCCCGATAATCAAAACTTCTACTTGGCGCTTGCTCCATTTCTGCAGATCAGTTTTTGTAAATGAATGACTTAATCCACCTGTTGCTTTGGTCTTCAACAACAGCCGCTTGCGCCACCTGCTGGTGAGCGACTGACAGCAGCAGGAGATCATGCATCGGTGCTCTACTGCTGTTCCTGTAGATCCCGGATGTGCAATGGCGAATTTTCTGCCGAATTTTAACCACTGAATTTGTGGAAGCGAATTTGGAAAGTGAAATAAAATGGACCCGAAATTTGCCTGTCGAATATTATACATCGTGAATATGAATTATTGAATTTTTAATTATGAGAATGTGTGTGAAATATTTTGAATTGAAATATTCACAGCTTAAATAAACAACTATGTTAGATTTCAGGACCTAAAAATGCAAGCCCTGGAAATACAAGGCATTAAAATGCAAGCACTGTTAATGCAATTCATTCTTTTTCCAGTTAGTGCCATTCAACGTGCTTTTTTGTTTCAAAGACATATGGCATTATTGCACTTCCATATACTTGGAATTAAAAAATATATTAAATTATACTATTAAACTATATTATTACAAGCTGTATTAAATAAGCTTCTCTTTCTTGAGTCTAGCCAGCAATATTGAGATTCTGATGTCCAAACCCATTAAATGCTACAGTCTGCTGTGTCAGGCCATGGACATGTGGCTCGACTCGGAGGCTATACAGGAGACTGGATGCCGTTTGTTACTGAAATTCACATCAGGTGAGCCCAGGTCAAAGGTCATCATGAAACGATGTTGTTCTCAGAACTTTTAGAAAGTGGTTTATTTTTGGAGTTATGTTATGTCTGTTGGCATTCAACAGAGAGCTACTATAACATACTGGTGCTGAATGGTGTCCACAAGGTGGCGGTGAAAGCATGTGTCTCTTATCCTGAGAATGCCACAGTGCAGACCACTGCCCTTTCCTGCCTGAGCGCGCTCGGTGAGTCAATATGGACACGAAAATGAACAAGATAGTACAGTATAAGATGAGAACCTGGCTCTCCACTGGATCCCTTAGAGCCCATATTTAAGGTGGAGTGCAATTTTTTTATGATTGTTATTCGTCATAAAATGGACATGACTGACAGAGCCAGCTGGACACTTTAAGTAAGCAGTCCACGTCCAGTTTGACGTCCTCAGAAGGCCAAAAGGCTGGACGCATTCTTCAGAGTAGTTCACCAAGGCTGCATTCATTTGATAAAAAATACAGTAAACAGTAGTATTGTGAAATATTATTACAATTTTATGTCAGTTTTTAAACTGTAATTTATTCCTGTGATCAAAGCTGAATTTCCAGCATCATTACTCCAGGCTTCAGTGTCACATAATCTTCAAAAATCATTCTAATATGCTGATTTGGTGCTCAATAATTTTTTCTGATTATTACGAAATAATATTATTTTGGTAAACTGCCATTCAAAAGTTTGGGGTCAGATTAAAAAAAGAAGAAGAAAATAATACTTTTATTTCGTAAGGATGCATTAAATTGATCAAAAGTCCCAGTAAAGACATTTATAATGTTATAAAAAATCTCTTTAAAATTAATGCTGTACTTTTAAACTTTTTATTAATCAAAAAAATCCTATAATAGGTAACACCGTTTCCTCAAATATACTGAGCATCAAAAAACAGTTTTCAGCATTGATAATAATAAGAACCGAGCGTCAATAATAATTGAGCACCTAATCAGCATATTCAAATGATTTCTGAAGATCATGTGACACTGAAGACTAGAGTAATGATGCTGAAAATACAGCTGCGCATCATAGGAATAATCTGCATTTTTAAATATGTTACAATAGAAATGAATTATTTTAAAATATGATATTTTTTTATTATCATTTTACAGTTTTTATCATGAGATAAATGCAGCCTTGATGAGAATAAGAGATTTGTATTTATTTAATTAGTTTTCCGCCACTGTATTATAAATAACCTATTTCACAATCGTGATTTGTGGCACTCATGTTTTTTTTCTTTTTTTGGGGCTCCATACAGTACTAATGTTTGTGTTGTTGTTTCTCAGCGGAGTGTATTGTACAGAATGAAGGGCTGGACAAAGAGTGGAACGAGGAGGACGAGGCGAAACAGAAAGAAGCCACTCGAGGAGAGGAGATGCTTATCTGGAGAGAGGCCTGTTATACTGCTTTAGAGAGACATGCTGACGATGCTGCAGTGCAGGTGACACATGACGTGTTTTAGCCTGCAATACGGAAAAGATCTTATCATCTCGTTCTAAGGTAACACCGTTTCCTCAAATATACTGAGCATCAAAAAACTGTTTTCAGCATTGATAATAATAAGAACCGAGCGTCAATAATAATTGAGCACCTAATCAGCATATTCAAATTATTTCTGAAGATCATGTGACACTGAAGACTAGAGTAATGATGCTGAAAATACAGCTGCACATCATAGGAATAAACTGCATTTTTAAATATGTTACAATAGAAATGAATTATTTTAAAATATGATATTTTTTTATTATCATTTTACAGTTTTTATCATGAGATAAATGCAGCCTTGATGAGAATAAGAGATTTGTATTTATTTAATTAGTTTTCCGCCACTGTATTATAAATAACCTATTTCACAATCGTGATTTGTGGCACTCATGTTTTTTTTCTTTTTTTGGGGCTCCATACAGTACTAATGTTTGTGTTGTTGTTTCTCAGCGGAGTGTATTGTACAGAATGAAGGGCTGGACAAAGAGTGGAACGAGGAGGACGAGGCGAAACAGAAAGAAGCCACTCGAGGAGAGGAGATGCTTCTCTGGAGAGAGGCCTGTTATACTGCTTTAGAGAGACATGCTGACGATGCTGCAGTGCAGGTGACACATGACGTGTTTTAGCCTGCAATACGGAAAAGATCTTATCATCTCGTTCTTTTGCTTTTATTATAGTGAATAACTTTCTCTCCCATCGTCCAATCAGGAAGCTGCATGTTGGGCTTTAAACAGCTTGCTGCTACATTACCACTCATTCAACCGTGTGGAACTGGAAGGAAGGTTAGCTTCATATTCTGTGCTATATTTTGTCCGAAGGTCCTCTCATAATTAGCAATATTATTGAAATAAATAAACGACTTCTGTTATGATTGGCTAACCTCTGCACACTAGCGCAGTTAAAACTGCTGAACACTGAATATTTCAATGATATATTATGTCATACCTACGAATATTTGGTTTGTTTCTGTCCCACAGGCCTCCTCTTCATTCTGTCATCATGGCTGCCATGCTTTTGCATTCATCCAGTGTGGAGGTTTTCCAAGCTGCTTCCTGTACACTACGCACACTAATACAGCACCACAGTAAGCTCATTTCTTCGTCAGTCATAGATATATATACAGAGAGACTGTGTTTGAAATGTCAAATAAGTTTGTAAACTACATTTGCAATAATTATGTTTTAATAATCTTTTGTCAAGCTTTAAAAAAAAGTAGCCTACACTTATTTTGATATGTTGACTAACGTATTAAAGCACATGTACAATTAGGTAATATATTTTAAATGTACAAAATTGCAACTTTATCAATTCAGTTAAGTATATTTTAGTCTACCAAAATACTTGTTGGTGCATTCAGCAGTGCACTTCAACCATATAATACTAGCACTTACCTATTCTAATCTAATTCTAATTCTATTCTACTTTTGCACTACACTGCAAAAAAATATTAAATTTTTGTGTTGTTTTCTAGTACACGTATCTAAACATTCTTGAATCAAAATAAATGTACTTGAGAAGCAAAATGACTTAATAATAATATATATTTTTTATAATGTTAATAATATTTTTTCAGGAGTCGAGACTTAATATCATTTTGCTTCTCAAGTAAATTCAAGAATGAGCAGATATTTGTACTAGAAAACAACACAACAATATTAAATAAGAAAGTCATTTTTTGCAAAGTAGGGATGTGTCTCAGAAAACGATCAGTTTGTGTTTTCGTGCTTCAGGCAGGATGAGGGCTCTGCTGCTGTCACATGGCATTCATGTCAACCTTGTGCATCTGATGCGGAAACACGAGAGCTCCAGCGCTGTGTGTGAAAGTGCCTGCAAACTGCTTCACACACTCTTCCAGGGAGCGTAAGCACACACAACTCCCACATCTGATCATTTATGGGAGGTATAACAGACAAAAACACAACTGAAATCATCATTTTATTTCACTCCAGGAGGGCCAGTCTAGATGACGCGACCCTGATTCTCGGTCAGATCCCGACTGCTCTGAAAACACATAACTTCGTTCCTGAAGTTCAGCTGGAGGGTCTCAGAGCGAGTTTAGTTCTTCTCAGCCCAGGTAGAATGTTTGTCTTCTTCCTGTGTATCTTGTTTTGTTGGAATGGATCTGCAAGCATTGTGTTTTTAGTTCATTGATGGAATAGGTTAAAAAAAATGACTCACCCTCATATTGTTCCAAATTCATGACTAAATGATGACTGGGTGAACTACAATGCCTACATACGTAATGTCTGACTCTTTGTTTTCTTGTGTGTACAGACAGGAGTTTAAGAGAACATGGCACCTCAGTGGCGGATCCTGAGATGGTGGACGTGTCCCTGCGGGTGCTGAAGAACCAGTGTGTACTTGAGGGAGCTCACACTGTCTATCTAGAGGCACTTAATAGGGTAAATGCTTCGTTTCTTACTAGCTAAAATAGTTCTGTAATTCAACATGCATGATAATGCATGAAGTCTTGTGCCCAAAGGGCACCTATTATGCCCCTTTTTACAAGATGTAATATAAGTCTCTGGTGTCCCCAGAATGTGTCTGTGAAGTTTCAGCTCAAGGAAGGTTAGCTTCAGATTCTGTGCTATATTTTGTCCGAAGGTCCTCTCATAATTAGCAATATTATTGAAATAAATAAACGACTTCTGTTATGATTGGCTAACCTCTGCACACTAGCGCAGTTAAAACTGCTGAACACTGAATATTTCAATGATATATTATGTCATACCTACGAATATTTGGTTTGTTTCTGTCCCACAGGCCTCCTCTTCATTCTGTCATCATGGCTGCCATGCTTTTGCATTTAGGAATAAACTGCATTTTTAAATATGTTACAATAGAAATGAATTATTTTAAAATATGATATTTTTTTATTATCATTTTACAGTTTTTATCATGAGATAAATGCAGCCTTGATGAGAATAAGAGATTTGTATTTATTTAATTAGTTTTCTGCCACTGTATTATAAATAACCTATTTCACAATCGTGATTTGTGGCACTCGTGTTTTTTTTCTTTTTTTGGGGCTCCATACAGTACTAATGTTTGTGTTGTTGTTTCTCAGCGGAGTGTATTGTACAGAATGAAGGGCTGGACAAAGAGTGGAACGAGGAGGACGAGGCGAAACAGAAAGAAGCCACTCGAGGAGAGGAGATGCTTCTCTGGAGAGAGGCCTGTTATACTGCTTTAGAGAGACATGCTGACGATGCTGCAGTGCAGGTGACACATGACGTGTTTTAGCCTGCAATACGGAAAAGATCTTATCATCTCGTTCTTTTGCTTTTATTATAGTGAATAACTTTCTCTCCCATCGTCCAATCAGGAAGCTGCATGTTGGGCTTTAAACAGCTTGCTGCTACATTACCACTCATTCAACCGTGTGGAACTGGAAGGAAGGTTAGCTTCATATTCTGTGCTATATTTTGTCCGAAAGTCCTCTCATAATTAGCAATATTATTGAAATAAATAAACGACTTCTGTTATGATTGGCTAAACTCTGCACACTAGCGCAGTTAAAACTGCTGAACACTGAATATTTCAATGATATATTATGTCATACCTACGAATATTTGGTTTGTTTCTGTCCCACAGGCCTCCTCTTCATTCTGTCATCATGGCTGCCATGCTTTTGCATTCATCCAGTGTGGAGGTTTTCCAAGCTGCTTCCTGTACACTACGCACACTAATACAGCACCACAGTAAGCTCATTTCTTCGTCAGTCATAGATATATATACAGAGAGACTGTGTTTGAAATGTCAAATAAGTTTGTAAACTACATTTGCAATAATTATGTTTTAATAATCTTTTGTCAAGCTTTAAAAAAAAGTAGCCTACACTTATTTTGATATGTTGACTAACGTATTAAAGCACATGTACAATTAGGTAATATATTTTAAATGTACAAAATTGCAACTTTATCAATTCAGTTAAGTATATTTTAGTCTACCAAAATACTTGTTGGTGCATTCAGCAGTGCACTTCAACCATATAATACTAGCACTTACCTATTCTAATCTAATTCTAATTCTATTCTACTTTTGCACTACACTGCAAAAAAATATTAAATTTTTGTGTTGTTTTCTAGTACACGTATCTAAACATTCTTGAATCAAAATAAATGTACTTGAGAAGCAAAATGACTTAATAATAATATATATTTTTTATAATGTTAATAATATTTTTTCAGGAGTCGAGACTTAATATCATTTTGCTTCTCAAGTAAATTCAAGAATGAGCAGATATTTGTACTAGAAAACAACACAACAATATTAAATAAGAAAGTCATTTTTTGCAAAGTAGGGATGTGTCTCAGAAAACGATCAGTTTGTGTTTTCGTGCTTCAGGCAGGATGAGGGCTCTGCTGCTGTCACATGGCATTCATGTCAACCTTGTGCATCTGATGCGGAAACACGAGAGCTCCAGCGCTGTGTGTGAAAGTGCCTGCAAACTGCTTCACACACTCTTCCAGGGAGCGTAAGCACACACAACTCCCACATCTGATCATTTATGGGAGGTATAACAGACAAAAACACAACTGAAATCATCATTTTATTTCACTCCAGGAGGGCCAGTCTAGATGACGCGACCCTGATTCTCGGTCAGATCCCGACTGCTCTGAAAACACATAACTTCGTTCCTGAAGTTCAGCTGGAGGGTCTCAGAGCGAGTTTAGTTCTTCTCAGCCCAGGTAGAATGTTTGTCTTCTTCCTGTGTATCTTGTTTTGTTGGAATGGATCTGCAAGCATTGTGTTTTTAGTTCATTGATGGAATAGGTTAAAAAAAATGACTCACCCTCATATTGTTCCAAATTCATGACTAAATGATGACTGGGTGAACTACAATGCCTACATACGTAATGTCTGACTCTTTGTTTTCTTGTGTGTACAGACAGGAGTTTAAGAGAACATGGCACCTCAGTGGCGGATCCTGAGATGGTGGACGTGTCCCTGCGGGTGCTGAAGAACCAGTGTGTACTTGAGGGAGCTCACACTGTCTATCTAGAGGCACTTAATAGGGTAAATGCTTCGTTTCTTACTAGCTAAAATAGTTCTGTAATTCAACATGCATGATAATGCATGAAGTCTTGTGCCCAAAGGGCACCTATTATGCCCCTTTTTACAAGATGTAATATAAGTCTCTGGTGTCCCCAGAATGTGTCTGTGAAGTTTCAGCTCAAAATACTCAAAATAAATAATGAATTTGGCTTTGATTATCATGTCCATCGCACTGAAATCATGGTTTTCGAAGCGAACGCACAGAAAGCGGCTGTCACGTGACATGTGAGTCCTAAACTAAGCTCTCTTTAATGTCTTATTGCACTTAAACCGTCAAATACACACAAGTTTATGTTGAAAACACACATAAGTTACAAAAACAGTTATGTCCGTGAAGGTAAACAGCTGGGAAAGAAAATGCATGTTTATACATGGCTCATTCAGGGCAGGGTCTTTGCTAATACAGCAGTGTCCGTCAACAGTCGTGAGCGGGCATTTTACGGTTTCTGTGAATGGCTTGTTCTGAGGCGCTGCTTATGAGTTATGGGAATTTTAAAAAAAGAAGAAGTGGGCAGATTTTTATCATAATAGGGATGTTGTGAATTTTGTGTTATAGGTGCCCTTTAAAGCTGAAGTGTGTAATTTTTGTTAGACGTTTCTATGTTTATTTATCTCAGCTTAATATGCAGGGACAACGAGTGTATCACCACAAAAATTACGATTTAAGCATCTTTACAGCTCAAAATGCATAAGAATTAAAGGGATAGTCCACCAAAAATGAAAATTCTGCCAGCGTTTACTCACTCTCTTGTTGTTGCACACCTATTTGAAGACTTTCGTTTATCTTCAAAACACAAATGAAGATATGTGTAACGAAACCTAAGAGATTTCTTTCACTCCACTGAAGGTCCATTCCACCAAAACTTCAATGCTTCAGAAAGTTCACAAAGGCTTTCAAAAGATAACTGTTTGAGTTGAGCGATTAAATCTAAGTCTTCTGAAGGGACACAATGATTTATATGATAACCCGATTTAATTTAGGCTTTTATACACTTAAACATTGATCAGCACGCATATATAGAGCACATCAAATATGGTAAACGGAAGCTCAAATACTGTATGCTTTCTTGTCCCACTAGTGAAGTTTGTTCTTGTGTGTGAAGTATGGTTAAACTGCTGTTTATGGCCTATTTTTTTACTGTGTCTTTAAAAACCTTTTGAAGCATGAAAGTTTTGGTGGATAAGACTTTAAATTAAGGGACAGAAAAAAAAATATATATATGTTGATGAACGAAATGAATGAATGTCTTATGGAGTACCATAACTGATGACAGAATTTTTATTGTTTGGAGGTGAGCTATTTCTTTAATATAATAACTGCTGTTAAACCCTCTCAAATATCTCTCCCCATAGACATCGTGGCGATTTCATTACTGTAAACGGTATATTTTTGCATAACTAAACAAATAAAGGATGAGTGAAAATAATTGTCAGGGGTAGTCAACATTTTGCCTGAAATGCTGTCTATATAGACTTCAACTTAAATTGGACCTGTCATACTCCTTGTAGGAATTGGACTTTAATCAGGTGGTTTTAATTTAAAATGTAAGTTCTGTAAATGTGGTGTGTTTCATTTGATATGTGTGTTTAGTTTATCAGTAGTGAGGAGATTCAAGAGTGTGGACTTGGTGTACTCTCAGCACTAGCTGACAGTTCTGGAGCGGTTGACCTCATGTGCCAGCAGGGAGCGATAGATACGGTTCTTCATACGCTGCAGATGTTTCCACGTGAGCGTGGTGAGTCCATTTACCTTACCATGACTGAAGACTTAATTTTGAATGTCGACATAAGGTCTGGTCCACGTTGCTGCTTATTCTGGACAAAAACCAACCACTGTTCAGGCATTCACACAGAACACATTTTTGCGTTCCACTATGCTGCTTTTCCATTGATTTTCTATATAAACATGAGGTAAACGGACATGTTTGACCGTTGTGCTCTTGTCTCGCATATTGTGTGATGACGTTTAATGCACTGCTCACTATTGGGTATGTAAACAATTGTGCGCAACTGTATATTAACTGAAAGTCATCACCCTTTGCAGATGTTCACTACTGGGGTCTTAGTCTTCTGTTTCACCTCATCTCTAAGAAGAAGCTCTCTCGTATGATGGTGCCTGTACTGGCATCAGTTTTGGTCAGCTCAGTACGTCAACACAATGAGGACACAGTCATGCTTCTAAAGGTAGCTCACTACAGTTATTACCATTTCAAAACCGAAAGGGTGGCTGTTTTTGATATTTTGTTCCTAACAGTGTGCGTTTTGGTCGTTAGGGTTTCCAGGTGGTGTGGAAGTTATTGGACACCTGCTCTAGTGCCGCAGCATGGCTGCAAAAAGAAGACTTCGAGAAAGACATCTTCCAGATCCTCCGGGAAAATATGGCAGACCAGCGCAGAGATCCAGTAAGAAAATGAAACCAAAGTTCTGTCAAAAATGCAAGATCTCCTGATAAATCCTTCATGTTCCGGTTCAGTTGCAGGCAGTGAGTTGCCTGTGCCTGTCTAAGATGGTGGTGGACAGTGAGATCATGTATGCCCTGTTGGAGAGAGCGTGTGAGGACGGTGACGTGGACATGGCAGAGTGTCTCATCCTGCTGGGCGCTGACATCAACAAGAAATCAAAGAGCGATTCGCTCATATATCAGGTGTGATATATGAACCTTTATTCCTCAACTCTTAAAGGAATAGGAAATTGTACACCCTCAAGCCATCCTAGGTGTATATGCCTTTATTTTTCAGACAAACACAACTGGAGTTATATTAGATAATATCCTGGCTCTTCCCAGCTTTGAAATGGCAGCTGAATGGTGCCCGAGTTTTTGAAGCTCCAAAAAGCTCATCCATCCATCATAAAAGTAATCCATACAACTACAGTGGGTTAATGAATGCCTTCTGAAGCGGATTGATGGGGTTTTGTAAGAAAAATATCCATATTTAAAACTTTGTAAATTATTGTCACTGGCTTCCTTAACTTCTGTACGCATGTTCACAGGAGAGTCGAGTTATGACATTTCATGTAGATAATGCAAGAGCACAATAGTAAAAAGTACATTTTCACTTAAAGTTCACTCAGTTCGGTTCTCTTCAAATAGTGTCTGTGAAAAACTGACAGAGTGTGTCTGCCTCCCGAATAACGCTAGGCAGATTGTCCCAGAGTTTGTGCGCTAATTAGGAAATGATCTGCCGCCTGCAGTTGATTTTGATATCCTAGTCATTATCAAATGGCCAGAGTTTTGGCAGTTTCTTGCTCAAATGCTGAGGAGCTAAACTATTCAGGGCTTTATAAGTAATCAGCAATATTTTAAAATGTATACAGTGTTTAAATGGGTCATATGATGCAATTTCAAGTTTTCCTTTCTCTTTGGAGTGTTACAAGCTCTTGGTGCATAAAGAAGATCTGTAAAGTTGCAAAGACTAAAGTCTCAAATCCAAAGAGATATTCTTTATAAAAGTTAAGAGTCAGTCACACCTACCTAAAACGGCTCGTTCTAACACGCCCCCCCACATGTCTATGTCACGATCAGGGCCGCATTAAGACCGCACTGGGCGCATATATACAGGGTACAACAGGGCTAAAGGCCCACCTTAGAGAAGAAATGAAAAAAATATATATATATAATAATATTGAAAATTAATGGAGCAATAGATTTTGTGTGAAAATAAATCCTCAGGGCCGCATTAAGACCGCACTGGGCGCATATATACAGGGTACAACAGGGCTAAAGGCCCACCTTAGAGAAGAAATGAAAAAAAAATATATATATAATAATATTGAAAATTAATGGAGCAATAGATTTTGTGTGAAAATAAATCCTTCAAGTTGTTTATTTTATTTAAAAATCGTATAAATGTATGAGGTGGCAAGAGGGGCCTTTTACCCCACACACGGGGTAAAAGGCACACGGTATTTATACAAATACTTCAGCTAAAATAATGTCTAAGTTAATACTTGTTCAAAACAATCACTTTAGCAAAGTTTGTACTATTTTCTGCTTATTTTGAAAAATAAAAGTATACATTTTTTTTCCAATAAGCATGCTGTCATTAAAATGTGTTATAATATAAAAAAATATATTTTAAAATACAGAAACAAAATCATTTTACTAAGTAAAGATTCTGAAAGTATTGAAGGAGATCCAATAATAATTGAATATATATTTACAGTAGTATCAGCAAATTATATTTTATTATATGATATGATTAATATCATGTTTTTAAATATGATGGTTTCTTTCTAAACATGGTGATTATCTCTAATATGGACACCCAACATAATATGTGATATTTACCATCTGACTCGAACCATGTCATGTCAACAAATGGAAAAGTCCGTCATCTATTAATTATCATGTTAATTACTGTGCACATTTAGCCCCAACAGCAGGGGGCTAAAATACCATACTTTTACATATTCTTTCGTTATTTAAAAACTGTTGCTTTATCTAAAACAAAACTGAAAATCATGAAGAAGACTTTTCTCTCAAGATGTATGCATTCATTTTAGCGTTTCTCATTTGCTACTTAAATCTACATTTTTTAAAACATAAAATATTAGATCAAGTAAACACAGAATCATCTTTGCACTGCTGCGTGCGATCGTGTCAAGGATCAGACAGATATACAGGTGCATCTTGAAAAACGGATGTTTTGGAAAGTGCTACGCCATGTTTTTGTGCCATCTAGTGGTTTAGAGGAAAATAATATCAAAGGCGCCTTTTACCCCAGGACACCTTTAGCCCTGTTGTACCCTATATATATATAAAGCTTTAAATAGGATTTTTATACCATATAAAAATTCTTGATGCACTGAAATTTCATAATTTGTGTTACCATTTTCAATATCAATAAAAAAGAATACTAGCCTAAGTAAAAATAAGCTTACTGAAGACAAGTAAACAGTCAAAAATTAGGCTACAACAGAACAAAGATCATAAAAAACGGCCTACTTGAAAAACTTAAAGCACTGAATAATACATACATTGCATAAAGAAAATGTGCAAATAGACTGAATAGTCTTCACTGTATAAATTCAATTATACATTCATTCTTATTTATTTTACAGAAGTGATTCAGTCAAGGACAGTAAGTGATTTTATTTCCGATGTTTGATTTACATTATTGACACAAATGGTAACAGCAGCTATATTAGGCTGCATTATAGTTCACCAAAAATGAAAATTCTGTTGATGTTCTAAACCTGTATGAGATTCCTTCATGCTGTTGAACACAAAAGAATATATTTGGAACAATATTGGTAACCAAACAGTTTATGGAGGACTGTTTCCTGATCCTGGGAGAGTAGACTACAAAGAGTCTGACTCACAGACTGTAAATACATTTTCATGCTTAAAGGATTTGCCACTGATGATTCAAACACCAGTTTTGAGCAGTGTAGAGTAGCACTTGTTGTTTGTCATTTCTCTGATCACAAATGCAGACTTTTTATGCAACGCAACGCGTAAAAAGACAGTATAAGTCATTAGAATCCGTAATTATGTCCCCACTGAATGCACAGGCGGGGGAGGGGCTTGAGTCGCAAAACTAGTCTTCTGAGCCCACCTTTGATCCTTAGATTGAGACGGGCCAGGACCCCTTTCTTGTTCGGGCTCAGACCTGGACCTTCATGGAATGAAGGATTTAAAGGCAGCCGAGCACGTCTTGGCCTCCTTAAACTTCTCGACCACCATCTCGACGGAAGTGCTGAAAAGCTCAAAAGGGGAAACTAGCGCACCAAGAAGAAAGTCCTTCTCCTTCGACCCGATATCCGCCAGATTCACCCACAGATGTCTCTCTGTAACCACCATGGATCTGTGTCGGCAGTGTCGGCCTGCTTAGTGGCACGGAGAGCAAGATCTGTGGTACGACGCAACTCACCTCATCAGGGGAAAGACCCTGATCTTTATCCAGGTCTTTCAGCAGATCAGCCTGATAAGCATGAAGCACACCCATGGTATGCAACGAGGCTGCAGCCTGACCTGCTGACGCATATGCCGTGCCAATTCAAACGAGATGTATCCTGAAGGGGTTTGGACAGCAGGGAGGGAGCCTTAAGAGTTCTGCATTTTGGACCAGCTGGAGTTTGTTTATTAGGCGCGAAGAGCAACCACCCAATAAAGCATTACAACAATCTAACCTAGAGGTCATGAACGCATGAATTAACATTTCTGCATTTGACATTACGAGCGTAGGTCGTAATTTAGATATATTTTTAAGATGGGAAAAATGCAGCTTTACAAATGCTAGAAACATGAATTTCAAAGGAAAGATTGCTATCAAAAATAACACACCTAGGTTTCTAACTGATGACAAAGATTTGACAGAGCAGCCATCAAGTGTTAGACATTGTTCTAGATTGTTACATGCAGAGGCTTTTGGTCCAATAATTAACACCTCTTTTTTCAAAATTTAGCAGTAGGAGATCACTAGTCATCCAGTTTTTTATATCCGCTACGCATTCCGTTAGTTTTGCAAATTTTGGTTTCGTCTGGCCACAAAGAAATATATAGAGCGGAGTATCATCAGCATAACAGCTTCTCGATCTCCACAGCCATTACCTCAAGCAGCTCATCATACACGGGGCAGGAGGATTGGGAGGAGTCCGTCTCGACTTCTTCGTCCTCATCTGACATCTCCTGCTCATCCTGGCTTGTAGCCAGCAGAGCACTAGCCGCTGGATCAGCAGCTCACTCTCATCCGTGACTGATGAGCGCGAAAAGAGAGACAAACGAGAGCGGAGCTTTTTCATAGGAAACTGCCCCCTCAAGGACATTGCAATATCAGGTGTCAAATAACAAGGACACAGAACCACACACTTCTTAAACGCCTTACTAGTGCTCGCCATGGTAAAGAAGAATAATTTGTTCTTACCGGAAATGCAGGCTTCAAACAAACGAACAAGAGGATGTCGTGTTCTCCCGGCGCCCTTTTATACTGTGGTCGCACCGGGTGATGACGTCACAGGCTGTCGCCGGCCAATGTTATTGTTGTGTTTAGATGTATGCTTCAGACACTGGTCACGCTGAAGGCATTCCCCATAGCAACCTCTAGAGGACGCAGTTTGAAATTCCCTCGGAAGGGAACTCTTGCGTCTGCATTTTGGACCAGCTGGAGTTTGTTTATTAGGCGCGAAAAGCAACCACCCAATAAAGCATTACAACAATCTAACCTAGAGGTCATGAACGCATGAATTAACATTTCTGCATTTGACATTACGAGCGTTGGTCGTAATTTAGATATATTTTTAAGATGGGAAAAATGCAGCTTTACAAATTCTAGAAACATGAATTTCAAAGGAAAGATTGCTATCAAAAATAACACACCTAGGTTTCTAACTGATGACAAAGATTTGACAGAGCAGCCATCAAGTGTTAGACATTGTTCTAGATTGTTACATGCAGAGGCTTTTGGTCCAATAATTAACACCTCTTTTTTCAAAATTTAGCAGTAGGAGATCACTAGTCATCCAGTTTTTTATATCAGCTACGCATTCCGTTAGTTTTGCAAATTTTGGTTTCGTCTGGCCACAAAGAAATATATAGAGCGGAGTATCATCAGCATAACAGTGAAAGCTAACACCATGTTTCCTGATGATATCTCCCAAGGGTAACATGTAAAGCGTGAAAAGCAACGGTCCTAGTACTGAGCCTTGAGGTACTCTATACTGCTCTTGTGATCGGTATGATACCTCTTCATTCACTGCTACGAACTGATGACAGTCCAATAAGTAAGATTTTAACCATGCCAATGCAATTCCACTAACGCCAACATGCTTTTCTAGTCTATTCAAAAGAATGTTGTGGTTTATAGTGTAAAATCCAGCACTAAGATCCAGTAGCACTAATAGAGAGATACAACCACAATCGCATGATAAGAGCTCTCATTTGTAACTGCTCTCATTTGTAACTTTGATGAGAGCATTCTCAGTACTATGATACAGTCTAAATCCTGATTGGAAATCCTCACAGATACCATTTTTCTCTAAGAAAGAACATAGTTGTGAGGATAATACCTTTTCTTGTATTTCTTTCTAATGACAATGATGAATTAATAATATTCAGAAGAGGATCTATGATTTCTGGAAGCACCTGTTTTAGTAGCTTAGATGATATATATACGTATATATAGAGAGAGAGTATAACATACATGTTGGTTTAGATGAATTAACAAGTTTATACAATTCTTCCTCTCCTATGGCAGAGAATGGGTGGAATTGTTCCTCAGGAAATCTATAGTGCACTATCTGATGTGGTACTGTAGCTGTCAGCTGCATGGTTGTAATTTTATATCTAACAGTGTTGTGTTTGTGCAGGTTTGTGATCGGGGGGCTCCTCTGGTTTTGCTGGAGCTGCTGGTTTCTGCAGGTGTTCATGAGCAGCAGTTACGTGGAGCTCTGAGCGTGTGTGTCAGGAGGGGCGATGACCCTGCGGTCACCCTCCTCCTCACCCGTCTGGGGCTGGACCACACCAACAATGCCCTGTGCCTCGGGAGCTTCCGCCTCGGAAAAATGAAGGCGATGTGGCTCAGCGCACTGCTCTCGGAGCGCAAAACCCAGACTCCAATAAACAAGAAGAACAGTGAGTCTGTTCACATGATCTGGCAGTTGTCATGTATTTGACATACATGTTCTGGAGCCATGACCACTTTTACTTCTGTCTGGCTTTGTTTTCTTTATACCAATTTCAGAATATTTCTTCAGAAGATTGCCCCGAAATAAAGAAGTTTTGAGAATAATAAAAAAAAAACAGTTTAGAATATCAGAAAAAAAGGATAAAACATTTTAGGATTAGGATTACTTTATTTATCCCTAAGGAAATGTGTCTTGGACATAATGGCTGCCACAAACAAGAATACATAGAATTATAATACAATAACAACACACACACACACACACACACACACACACACACATAATGAAATAACATTCTACTATTAAAAAGATAATCAAGATTATGTGCTTTAGTTTGTTAGGCAATTACATCAAAACAAGTGTGCTTCTTTAAATCACAACGGGAGATTATCAAAACATTACTTAAAATGTCAATTCAAGTCACCTGGGGGCAGTCGTGGCCTAATGGTTAGAGAGTCAAACTTTGAACCTGAAGGTTCGAGTTTCAGGTCCGGCAGGGATTGTAGGCGGGGGAAGTGAATGTACAGCGCTTTCTTCCACCCTCAATACCACGACTGAGGTGACCCTTGAGCAAGGCACCGAACCCAACTGCTCCCCGGGTGCCGCAGCAATATGGTTGCCCACTGCTTCGTGTGTGTGTGTGTGTGCACTTGGATGGGTTCAATGCAGAGCACAAATTCCGAGTATGGGTCACCATACTTGGCCACACGTCACTTCACTTTATTTATATAGTGCTTTATACAATACAGATTGTGTCAAAGCATCTTTACAGTGTTAAACAGGAAAAACGTGTGCTGATAATCCAAGGGGATAGTAGTAAACAGTAGATTTTTCCCTTAAAGTCAGTTCATTGTTGATTCAGTAATGTCATCATCCAGCTCAGTTCAGTTCTCTTCAAATAGTGTCTATGCAATCAAGTCAACAATATTGCCTGAAATTGTGTCCCCAACTAAGCAAGCCAAAGGCAACAGTGGCAAGGAACCAAAACTCCATAAAAGTTCCAGAAGTTCGTAAAGTCATTACTGCTGTGCTGTTGGGAAATGTTTGTGTTGCGTTAATTTAGCCACTGTAATGAATAAATAGGGTTATGTTTGTTTTCTTCTAAAAAGGGACTAAAAGTAAGCAGATCTAGCCGTTTTTAAGGCTTTTCTGTATGTAGAAGTACTTTCCCTCCATGCAATACGAAATACCTCTAGTTTTGTTTTCTTCCAGCTGCGTTCCATTTTCCGGGCTGCTCTCTTTAGGGTGTGAGTGTGCTCGTTAAACCGTGGTGTTGGACTGTTTTCCTTAATCTTCTTTAAGCTTAAAGAAGCAACCGCATCTAAAGTGCTAGAAAAGAGAGATAATTTATAGTTTCTGTTACAACAAGTTTTTCTGTGCTATTGGATATGCTGAGGAATTGAGACTCAAGTCAATGATTTCAACAATGAGTAGGTCCTGAGACATATTGTCTAACCCCAATGGAGTTCAGAATGTCTACAAATGCTGATCCCAATGCATCTTTTTCATTATCAACATTTATATTAAAATCACCAACAACTAAGACTTTATGTGTGTCTCATGTTTATAACAGTAATCTTGGGGGAGGGGGTAGATTCATTTAAAGTAATGTAATCATCTGGTTTTAGCCAGGTTTCTGACAAACAGAGCACACCTAGGTTATGATCTGTGATCATATGATTTACAGAAAGCACTTTCATAGAAAGGGATCTAATATTCATGAAGCCATTTATTAGTTGTTTATCTGTATTATATCTGTTTGTTATTTTTGAACATTAATTAAGTTGTTACCCTTAAATTTTTTGTCTAAAACACTAACTTAGTAACTTACATTGATTTATAGGGTAATGGCGTTTTTTTTGTGCCAAATAAATACTGCTTTAATTAACTGTTTAATATGATTATATAGTATCCAGTAAATATCTAGCTAGTAATTAAAGTACATCTTTAATGTGTGTTTTGATTATTTTGTGTTGATATGGATCATCATTTAATCTGGGGATTATTTCCTAACCGTACTCAATACATTTTTCCCAGCAATTTATTAAAAGAGTTTTATTCAGTTGTGTATTTTTTTTTATTCTTAGAATTTAAGATTTGAGGCCAAACTTTTTTCTTTTTTCTTTTTGGCGCATGTCAGCTGATGTCAGACCTGCCATGATGAATTCATTTTGAGATTTGATTGGAAAGCTACAGTGAGGGGGGAATTTGCAATTTGCCAAAGAGAGAGAGAGAAAGAGAGAGAGAAAACATTGCATACATGTTGTTTTCGTAACAAGTATTCTTTTTAAAAGTATACTAAAGTGTAATTATTTGTCAGAAGGGTGATCACATCTTTTAAACAGGTTTTCATTGTATTTGTTTAATGTACTGTGTCTGTGGCATTGGCAGATCCAGGGTCAGCCGGTAATGGGGCAGCTGATTCCAGAGTGTTATGTGGAGTTGGAGAGGAGAGTTTTACAGGAGAGGTCACATGTACCCACTGATTTCCCAGTGCTCAGACACAGCAGACTACTGGAGATCATACAGGAAACACAGCTGCAGCTAGAGGAGGGAGAGTTACCCCACGCTATCCACTTCCTCAGCGAGGCTGGTGAGAGTTGTTTCACTCCTGAATCCCTTTCTGATGTCTTCTTGCTGTTTATGTCCAATTTGTTGTTGTTTCTTCAGTTTTGGGCACATGCATGTTCCTAGGGAATGTTCTTAATCACTTATATATTTTTGCTCATTTTAATTGTCGTATGTATTTGATTTATTGTTTTAACCTAGTAAACAGACCTTCTGTCTGTGTTTGTCTCCAGGTGTCCTGTTTCACTTTGATGATCCAGTGCTTCAGCTAAAGGATTTGTATTTCATTGACCCACAATGGCTTTGTAACCTCATCTCACAGGTTAAACATACACACTCGCACACACACACACACACACACACACACACTTTGCTTCTCCCTGTGATTCGTTCATAGCAGTAACGTCTCATCTGTTGTGTTGATTGACAGACGTTGACTCTGAGGAGCACTGGTCAGTGGGACACCACTAGAGGAGTGGTGCAGCGAACCACTGTCGAAAAGTTTCTGAACAAAAGTCGCTGTTTCCCCAAGGATCATCTGACTCAGTACTTCAAACTATTGGAAAAGTTTCAAATAGCCCTGCCCTTCGGAGATGACCAGTTACTTATACCTAGCAGGTAGTGATAGGAACTCTTTTAATTAAATTGATACAAAGTGGTGTACGGTGGTAGTTTTTCATGTTTGATATGTCCCCAGCCTGTCAGATCAAAGGCCGGTGATTGAGCTTCCTCACTGTGAGAATTCAGAGGTGATTGTTCGGCTTTATGAGATGCCGTACTTCCCCATGGGCTACTGGTCCAGACAGATCAGCCGTCTGTTGGAAGTGTCTGCTTTCCTGCTCTATGGCAAAGGTAACACAACACAAACACTAGAAGTCAGGATAAATTATTCCTGTATCTAGCTGAACATTGCACTTGCCATGGCACAAACATGGGCTTGATTCCCAAGGTACAAACACACCAATATAATGTATTATAAACGTATTGCTTGAATGCACTGTGAGTTGCATGGGTCTGCCAAATGAATAGCAAGTAAGACAGTTTGTGAATGTGTGTGTACTCTGCAGAGAAAGCATTGAGACCAAACCGGATCTACTGGAGGAAGGGCATCTATCTGAGCTGGTCTGCTGAAGCTTACTGTCTGGTGGAGGCCTTGTCTCTAGAAGAGAACCCTGCTAGCTTCATCAAGGTCACCGTCCCCTGCTCTCGCAAAGGTAAAGGAGAGGTGTTTTCTTTAGGCCATCCTAAATAGTACAGTAATAGTGATGACAATTGTGATTTCATAATTGTAACGTAATAGTGATGGCAGTGGTGACTACGATGTGGTGATGCGATTATATTGTGGGAATGTTGATGGTGTGATGTTGATAATGTATACTTGTCATGATGATGTTGATGTCATGATGATGGTGTGATGGTCATGATGATGATTATGATGGAGGCAATGTGATGATTATGATGATTATTGTGATGGTAATTAGTGATGCATTTGATTCAGTGTAGGGATGTAACGGTATGAAAATTTCTTACCACGATTATAGTGACCAAAATTATCACGGTTATCAGTATTATCACGGTATTGTTAAAATGTGCTGGAGATGTTAAAAAAGTTTTATATTTAAAAATCAACAAACAACAAATAAAATGACTTTTTGTTTGCATAATCACTAAAACAATAATATTACCAATGGTGTTTGGATTTTAAATGTCAAAATGATAATTGATTAATAAATGATTATATGTATTTTATCTGCTCCATAAATAATTCTAGATAACTTATCTGAATTGTTTAAATGTGTAGAATACATAAGCTTGTTTTTCATAAACCGGTCAAAATTTACAGCATGCAAATTCGGTCCGTTTTTGGCAAGACAGAAATTTCACACAGGCTGAATGTAAATATAAGTCTGTAAATCCACTCGCTGACAGCAGGTGGCGCTTTTATTTATCGCGAGTTGTTCAAATCGCGGTAATCTAGTACGGTTTTAAATTATAATTAAAAGATGAAACGGTAATACTAACCATGGGTAATTTTATCATGATTTATCGTCAAACATCCCTAATTCAGTGATAATAGTGATGATTGTGGTGGTGGTAATTGTGATAGTGTTTGTGATGATGTGATGTGACAGTGATAGTGATGCATTATTTGATTCCATGATAGTAATGACGGTTGTGGTGGTGATGATGACGATGTTTTGATGTGATGGTGGTAGTGATGCATTTGATTCAACAATAGTAATGATGGTTGTGGTGGTGATGATTGTGATAGTTTCAGTGATGAAGTGATGCAATAGTGATTCATTTGATTCAGTGATATTAATGATGATTTTGGTGGTGATGATGATGTTATGGTGATTAGTGATGCATTTGATTCATTGATAGTAATGATGGTTGTAGTGGTGGTGATTGTGATGTGATTGTGATTGTGATAGTGGTGCATTTGATTCAACGATAGTAATGATGGTTGTGGTGGTGATTGTGATAGTTTCAGTGATGATGATAATGATGAAGTTGGGATGTGATGGTGGTAGTGATGCAGTAATGATTCATTTGATTCAGTGATATTAATGATGATTTTGGTGGTGATGATGATGATGTTGTTGTTGTGATGTTATGGTGATTAGTGATGCATTATATTCATTGATAGTAATGATTATGATGGTGGTGATTGTGATGGCGTTGATGATGTGATAATTTTGATGATTATTGTGATAGTGATAGTGATGCATTTGATTCAATGATAGTAATGATGATTGTAGTGGTGGTGATTGTGATGCTGTTGTGATGTGATGGTGGTAGTGATGCATTCAATTCATTGTTAGTAATGATGATTTGTGATGGTGGTGATTGCCATAGTGTTGGTGATGTTGTGAGGTGATGTGATGATTTTGATGATTATTATGATAGTGATAGTGATGCATTTGATTCGATGATATTAATGATGATTGTAGTGGTGGTGATTGTGATGCTGTTGTGATGTGATGGTGGTAGTGATGCATTTGATTCATTGATAGTAATGATGATTATGATGGTGGTGATTGCAATAGTGTTGGTGATGTTGTGAGGTGATATGATGATTTTGATTATTATTATGATAGTGATAGTGATGCATTTGATTCAATGATAGTAATGGTAATTGTAGTGTTGGTGATTGTGATGTCATTGTGATGTGATTGTGATAGTGGTGCACTTGATTCAACAATAGTAATGATGGTTGTGGTGGTGATGATTGTGATAGTGTCAGTGATGATGATAATGATGAAGTTGGGATGTGATGGTGGTAGTGATGCAATAGTGATTAATTTGATTCAGTGATATTAATGATGATTTTGGTGATGATGATGTTATGGTGATTTGTGATGGATTATATTAATTGATAGTAATGATTATGATGGTGGTGATTGTGATAGTGTTGGTGATGTTGTGATGTGATATGATGTGATGATTATTATGATAGTGATAGTGATGCTTTTGATTCAATTATAGTAATGATGATTGTAGTGGTGGTGATTGTGATGCTGATGTGATGGTGGTAGTGATGCATTCGATTCATTGATAGTAATGATGATTATGATGGTGGTGATTGCGATAGTGTTGGTGATGTTGTGATGTGATGATTTTGATAATTATTATGATAGTGATAGTGATGCTTTTGATTCAATTATAGCAATGATGATTGTAGTGGTGGTGATTGTGATGCTGTTGTGATTTGATGGTGGTAGTGATGCATTCGATTCATTGATAGTAATGATGATTATGATGGTGGTGATTGTGATACTGTTGGTGATGTTGTGAGGTGATATGATGTGATGATTTTGATGATTATTATGATAGTGATGCATTTGATTCAATGATTGTAATGACGGTTGTGGTGATGATTGTGAAAGTGTCAGTGATGATGATGATGAAGTTGTGATGTGATGGTTATAGTGATGGTGATAGTGATTTGTTTGATTCAGTGATATTAATGGTAATTTTGGTGGTGGTGATTATGATAGTGTTGGTGATGTTGATGTTGTGATGTGATGCTGTTGTGATGAGATAGTGATGCATTCAATTCAGTGATAGTAATGATGATTGTGGTGGTGCTGATGATTGTAATAGTGTCAGTGATGATGACTGTGGTGATTGACAGATGATTGTTATGGTGGCAATGCGATGTTATGGTGGTGGTAATGCTGATGTAATTTTAATGATAATGCTTTGTTGAAGATGACGTGGTGGTTATGATGTTCTTTTGATGGCATTGTGTTGATAACGTTACCTGTCCTCTGTGTAGGTTGTGTGTTGTTTGGGCAGGTGGTGGATCACATTGACTCTCTGCTGGAGGAATGGTTTCCAGGCCTCCTCACCACTGATGTCCGTGGCACTGGAGAGACACTGCTTAAGAAATGGGCTCTTTACAGCTTCAGTGATGGACAAAACTGCCAGAAGATGCTGCTGGAAGATCTACTCTCCAGCATCAATGCAGGTCTGTATCCATTCTGCTCACATTCAGAAACTCCTTTAATGATAACCTTATGTATAAAAATGGTGCAAAACCTGTGCTGCACTGACTGGTTGCTTGTCTGTAAGATGGTTTGCTGGTGAACCCAGAGGACCCCAGCTGTACTCTGCCCATCTCTCAGATCTCTCCAGACCTGGTATTGAGTGACCAGCCATCCAGCACCATACTGGATCCAGAGCAGCTGGAGATGGAGCTCTCTATGGAGTATAGGTTGGGTTAGTACATGAATACATTTTTACATCTCTAAGTCAGAGACCAAAAAAGAAATGCCTGGATTGCATGTAATCGGCTACCCTACCTTTAATCATGATTATTTTGCTCAAAAAATGTCAAAATTTGTCATTTTAACTTTTTATCATCAGAATTGGACTCATAGACAGACTTACCGTGTTACTTACTGTGACTGTCAACAAAGTAATGCAAGTATAAACTAACAATATTTTTTTTCCTGAAGGAGATGGAGGCTTCGGCTCTGTATATAAAGCCGTGTACAAGAATGAAGAAGTCGCTGTGAAGATTTTCAATAAACATGCATCTACACTTTATGTTCATCGGCTGGTACGGCAGGTGAGTTATGCTATAGAAAAAGAAACCAGGCAAGTCTTTCACTTGGTTAGGACATGAGCAAGATTACCATTAGTACATTGTTGGTGTATTTGCTTTAAAATGATTTGTCTCCAGGAATTGGCGGTACTTGGCAGACTGTGTCACCCCAGTCTGGTGGGGCTTTTGGCTGCCAGTTGTAACCCAAACATTCTTGTGATGGAACTCGCCCCATATGGCTCTCTGGACTCGCTTTTTGAGCGTGAAAATAGCAGTCTCAGACGCAAGCTACAGCACAGGATAGCACTTCATGTGGCAGATGGTCTCAGGTGGGTAGACTAGCTACACAATACACAAAAACTTTAAAGAAGTCAAACATTCTGGGTTCAATTCAAGTTTAAGCTTCAGGACAGCATCTTTGACATGTTTTTCATGTATTCAAACAGATATTTGCACTCATCGATGATTATCTACCGAGATCTGAAGCCACACAACGTTCTGTTGTTTAACCTGAAAACGGATGCTGAGGTCATTGCTAAAATCACAGACTATGGCATAGCGCAGTACTGCTGCAGTATGGGCGTCCGCAGCTCAGAAGGAACACCGGGTACCTCTAGCATTCCCATAATCCTCTATGGAACAGTTATTAAACAAACAGAGGATGTTTGTTTATAGGTTATAATTATTGAATCTTACACACACAGGTTTTAGAGCACCGGAGGTCGCCCGAGGTAATGTCATCTATAACGTCCAGGCAGATGTATATTCATTTGGTCTGCTGCTGTATGACCTAATGACCTACGGCGAGCGGATATCGGATGGAATGAAGTTTCCCAGTGAGTTTGATGAGGTGGCTGTGCAGGGAAAACTACCAGGTAACATTCTGACTTCCTTTGTTTATTTTGATGTTTATACATACAATACCATACATACATACAGTTCAAACTATATATATATATATATATATATATATACTGTATATATAGTGCCGTGAAAAGGTTTTTGCCCCTTCCTGTTTTTTAATTTTTTGCATATTTGTCAAACTTAAAAGATTCAGACCATCAAACTAATTTTAATATTACACAAAAATAATGCAAGTAAATACAAAATGCAGTTTTTAAATGATGATTTCATTTATTAAGGGAAAAAAGCTCCAAACCTACCTGGCCTACGTGAAAAATTAATTGCCCCCTACTGTTAAATCATGAAAGAACTGTGATTAACCACATTATTTTAGAAAGCTTAGTTATATTTCACTAGCCACACCCAGACCTGATTACTGCCAGACCTGTTGAATCAATAAATCACTTAAATAGAACCTGTCTGACAAAGTGAAGCATGTTTAAAGATCTCAAAAAGCAACACATTATGCCGTGATCTAAATAAATTCAAGAACAAATGAGAAACAAAGTAATTGACATATATCAATCTGGAAAGGGTTACAAAGCCATTTCTAAGGCTTTGGGACAACAGTGAACCACGGTTAGAGCCATTATCCACAAATGGAGAAAACTTGGAACAGTGGTGAACCTTCCCAGGAGTCTGGGTTATGTAGCAGGACAATGATCCCAAACACACCAGCAAGTCCACTTCTGGATGGCTCAAGAAAAACTAAATTAAGGTTTTGGAGTGGCCAAGTAAAAGTCCGGACTTAAATCAGATTGAGATGCTGTGGCATGACCTTAAACAGTCCATTCATGCTCGAAAACCCTCCAATGTGGCTGAATTAAAATAATTCTGCAAAGAAGAGTGGGAGCAAATTCCTCCACAGCGATGTGAAAGACTCATTGCCAGTTATCGCAAACACTTGATTGCAGTTGTTGCTGCAAAGGGTGGCACAACCAGTTATTAGATTTAGGGGGCAATTACTTTTTCACGTAGTGCCAAGCAGGTTTGGACAGCATTTTTCCCTTAATAAATTAAATCATCATTTCAAAATTGCATTTTGTATTTACTCTGGTTATCTTTGTGTAATATAAAAATTTGTTTGATGATCTGAATCTTTTTAGTGTGACAAATATGCAAAAAATAAAAAAAAACAGGAACGGTGCAAAAACTTTTTCATGGCACTATATATACAGTGCTGCTTGAAAGTTTGTGAACCTTTTAGAATGTTCTATATTTCGGCATAAAAATGACCCAAAACATAATCAGATTTTCACCCAAGTCCTGAAAATAGACAAAGATAACCCAATCAAAAAAATGTTTTGTCTACTTTCAGGACTTGTGCAAAAATCTGATGATGTTTTGGGTCATATTTATGCAGAAATATAGAAAATTCTAAAGGGTTCACAAACTTTCAAGCAGCACTGTATATACAGTATATATATATATATATATATATATATATGCTGATTTGCTGCTTAAGAAACATTTCTGATTATCACAGTTAAAAACAGTTTGTGCCGCTTGTGCTGATGAATCAAAAGCTCAAAAGAAAAACTTATATATTTTTTTTTACTGTCAAAACTCATTGTCACTTTTGATTTTTGTATATATATTGTTCAATATTATATTAAATCCAAAAATCAATATAATTTTAAGATTTAAAAAATTTATATATTATTCACATTTGATTACATTTAATTGATGTATTTATCAATATATAATAATATTAATGACTTTCTCCATAATCACTGATATAGATCCAGTTAAATATTACGGCTGTTCTCCATGGCCAGGGTTTGAGTCCTTGATGAAGGACTGTTTGAGAGAAAACCCACAGGACAGGCCTACATCTGCGCAGGTTCGACTGATTACATCCGATTCTAAATGATTGTTAACTTATTACATCTTAGAAAGAATCACTTCTAGACTTCTGTGAGTCATTTAATGTCTCTGTGTATGTTTTAGGTGTTTGATCGTCTGAATTCTGTAGAGATGCTTTGTCTAATGCAAGAGCTGACTTTGATGAGTTTGCCGGGGGAGTGTTTCACTGTCTCTAGTGCCAGCGGAGGTGCAAACGGAGGTGACAATACCCGTGTGTGGATTGGAGGTGGCAGTTGCAGCCAGAAATTGGGCTGTGTGACATCACTGGATCTGGAGACGGGGGGAAGCTTGAGCCAGGTATGAATTTTACTGTTTTGTTTTGTTAAAGGTGACATATTATGCCCCTTTTTACAATATGTAATATAAGTCTCAGGGGTCCCCAGAATGTGTCTGTGAAGTTTCAGCTCAAAATACCCCACAGATAATTTATTATATCATTTTGAAAATGCCTATTTTGAGTGGAAGCGGAAACATGCTGTATTAGAGCATGTCTCTTTAAATGCAAATGAGCTGCTGCTCCCCGCCCCCTTTTTCCAGAATAGAGCTGCGCCATTACAGCTCGTACCTGCTAAAACATCTGTTTTGGTTCTGATTATCATGGTTATCGCGCTGAAATCATGCGTTTTAAACCATATGAGTTTAAACTTCTGATATAGGGTTTTCTGAGCGCACACATCCGAAGCACAC